GAGAGAGAGAGAGAGAGAGAGAGAGAGAGAGAGAGAAAGAGATTAAATGACATCATTATGGAGTTTGTCTGGCCCTGCCTTTATTAATCTATTCCTGCCAATGTTTAAAAATTTGAATGCTTGGGGTCTGAAATTTTAAAGCTGAAAATCAGGTGCTAAGGGGTTTCCTGAACTACACAGAGATAGTATCTGATTAAAGCATCTCCCTGTAAAGCATGTTTTCAAGAAAAAAATAAAGAAGGTAGTTTTTAACTATATCATAATCTGTACCTGTTTCCATGTAGCATTCGCAGGAAATAGAAACTTTTTATCAAAGTGAGCTGAGTTACAATGAGGGCCATTGATAACTTCTATCAACAAAATAAAGCCCAGCTCAGCTCTCCTCTTCTCCCCAAGCCATTACCAGAAAGAAATCTGGGCAAGAAAACGCCCTGGGAAATTGCACTGCCTTAGCTCCTTCACCCCAGGCACTGTTTAATCCTTCTCTCCCCCCAAGGAATGAATCAACCTACCTTCTCGATGAAGCCTTTCTGATCACCTCATTAAAAAGTTTCCCCATTTCCTCATCAGTCCACAGGCTTACCGTGCGGATCACACACTGGGAACTTTCTTCCTGCTGGATATGGTTAGTGATCTTAAGAATGCGACTCTTCTCAGCTATCTTAGAAGACCCAGAAGGGCAGGAACCAGCTCTTTTCTTTTTTTGGCATCTACATGGGGACTAATCTCAGTGCGCTGCACTGGTGGCTGGGTTCTGTGTGAGGACTACGGGGGACCACAGCAGGGTTTGGTAATGATAACAAGTTATCTTCTAGCATCACCCAGAGTAAGCCCTGGGGAACAAACACCAAGGAAAAAGATGTACCCTGGTGGAGGTTGAGCAACCAGCTGGGCACACGCTCGAGTGGCAAATACCACTCTGAGCCCTCAGCGACTCAGCTTGATGGAGAAATGAAAGGGGTTGAGGGAGCCGTTGTCCCCACTCTGATTCTGCAAATGATGTACTTGGTTACTTCTGCGGATTCTCATAATTCTGCTCCACCTTAGTGCACTGGCCTGTTTTTTGAGCTCCTCTGATGATTTCTGGGTGGTGTATTGTTGGTCACAACAATATCCATCCCCTATGCGTACTCCCACCAGATTCCTGGGCCGTCTCTGCAGCATTTTTGAAGCAGTCGTGGGAAAACAAGAACATTGTGCACAAAACTTTATTTATGCCACTGAATACCAGTTTGGAATGATTTCCTTTTCAGTTATATAAAAAAAAAAACAACTTCCTTTTCTCTTTCAAATAGCAGATCCAATAAACTCACTCAACATTTTGGGAAGGGATTGCATTGCCTGGAAGAAACAGGTGGTATTGTCATTTCAGGCCCGTGGTGTTCATTGTGGTCCCCAGACCAACATCATCGCCTGGGAGCTTGATAGAAATATAGCATCCCAGTCTCCATCACACATCCACTCAGTCAGGATCTTCATTTTAACAGGATCCCCCGAGACTCGTGTACATATGAACATCAACCAGAGCATCGCATGGAATGCTTCCCCCATCTAAAGGCTTCCGCTGACAATCTATCGCTCCTGCTCTGATGTGGTCAATCTAGAGATTCATAGGATGGGCTTCCCCATGGTTTTGTTTTGGTTTTTTGTTTGTTTGTTTTTGTTTGTTTTTGTTTTGCTTTTGTTCACCTTTCAAGTTCAAGTTCACCCAAGAGGAGTGATTTAAGGCAAGTGAACTACTCATGCAGAGGTGCCCCGATAAAGGTATCTCATCCTTTCAGTGGGGAAACTACATTTGAAAGTGAGGAAAAGAATGAACCCACACTTTGTAGTCTCTAGGACAATATGTACGCAAAAGTCCCCTGGTCTTGAGGATGCTAGGGCTGTGGCAGGCCATTCTCCTCCCCGGTACTTTCTGGGTCCAGATTGGGGAGGCAGAGTCCTTGCAATGGCAGACTTTGGCAGACTCTCAACAGTCGGAAGATCACCTTCCTAAATGGGTGACTGCATCCAGCAGGGCCTGGGAGCCAGAGGATGGAGTCAGGGAGTCACTGTAGATGAAAGGGCAGGTTGATGAAAGCCACTGGGAGAGAGAACAGAGCCAAGCCCATCCTGGGGCTGTGTGTGGAGGCAGGTGCTTATGCCAACAGCATTGATCTAAAAAGGCAAGAAATAAGAACAGTCCATTGCTTTCATTTATCTGTGGGTAAGAGGCCATAGTCACAGTCAAATGATATTTGCCACCTCACTCAACTCTACCTGCATAGGCCCTGCAGCCACACGTGCACCACTATCGGGAGTTCCTCCTGCCATCGTGGGGACCTCATGAGTTATCTCAAATGCATGAAGCATCAGACCATTTCTCATTCCATTCTAGGGTGCAGCTCCCACCTATCCTTCTGTACACTGATGCTCATATCCTTGTGGTCATACAACAGCCCCATAAGCTACTTCTAAGACCAAGGAGGAATGCCTAGCTCCCACCCTGCTGTGAATTATCTGTTAGAGAGACCCCTTAGCTAGCTGTGAATAGCAAGGG